GCCCCCCACCCTCCTCCCTACCCAGCCACGTGCCACCACAGACCTGCCGCCCAGCCAGGACGTGGCTCCCGAAAACTCCCCCTAACCTACAAAACTCCTGTCCCACCCCCCACCAGGTTTGCTTTTTTTTTTTGATCAGAGCCCAGATGATCCCCTCCGTGGTGGCCATGAAGGAGGAGGGGTCCCCGGATGGGCCAAGCGGGGGAGCTCCGGGATCTTGCTTTTCCTGGCCCCAGCCCCTGTCCCGTGCTCCCAGCGCTCGGCGCACCGCACCGACGTTGCCCCCGTCGCCCTCCGGCTCAGGATGCTGAGTTTGCTGGGTCTCAGCAGGGCAGGGGGAGCTGGGGGCGCTTCCCGGAGGCTCTCCCGCACGCACGGACTCTCCGCAGCTCCCAGGGGCGAGGAGATCGCGGCCAGGGGCAGGACAGAGGAGCTTGCCCGGGGGCAAGAGGGTGCGGGGAGGGGAGGGAGGGTGCTCCTGACCTGCCCATCTTTGAAGTAGGTGCGATGCAGGGTTTCCACCGCTGCGGGGATCACTCTCAGAGCCTCCGGGCTCGCCCCCAGCACCCAGACCTCCAGCTCCTGCCCTGCCCGCGGGGGGCTCTCGTCCGCCAGGGCCAGGAGGTCCATGAAGGGGCGACCTGCGAGGAGCGGGCAAGGCAGACGTCAGCCAGGAACGAGCCGCACAGAGGTCGGGGCAGGAGGCGCGAGACGGAGAGCTCGGCGAGCTCAACCTGTGCACACTCCCGCGTCTACCTGCACACCGAGCCGGGCCCCAGGGTGCAAGCTGGAGCTCCAGCCCCGCCGCTCCCCCTGTCATAACCCAAGGGTATGATTTTGTGCGCGCGCACTTCGGCACTGGAGAATTATTTCCCGCCACGAGGAGCTTTCTTTGCAGGGTGCAATTCTCAGTTGCAAAGAGAAAACCCCGGTGCAAAGAAGTTCCCGCCATTCGCGTGCAAACTTGTGTCCCACTATTGGCTGTTTCTAAATTAGTCCCACGTGGCGGCTAGCGATTGGCTTGCTAGCCGTATAAGAGGCTTGAGCGGTTTCCGCCCAAGTTGGAGACCTCCAAGGAGAACCCCGCAAGGGAGGACTCCACAACCATCTGGAGGAGGAGGAGGACTTCACGTCTTGTGAAGATCTCTAAGCGCTGCGGAGCCTAACAAACCCAGTGTGTGCCTTAAGAAGGATACAGGGGCCTGATCAACCTCTAGCCTCTCCCCGTCGCCGGCTAATCCCTCGACGAACCCCTTCCCTGCGCGCTTTCGTTCCACGGAGCCTAGCAAACTTCGTGTGTGTGTGTGTGTGTGTGTGTGTGTGTCCAGAGCTCTGCCCGAGTTATTTCAAGAGGCTCGAGTTTTTCTACGGGTCTTGTTCGTACGAGTTTTGTAACTGCAACTTAAGCGAAGTTTTCTCCTGCCTGCACCGCGACTGTCTACGGTGTAAGTAAAATAATCTTTAATCAACCGCTACGCGTCCGTGCCTAATTCTAGTGCCCGACCCACGTGCCAGGGCTGCTGGCCACAGCCCGCCGCGCGCCCCCGAAAGCCTCGGACCACTCCCGGCCCGCACCCCGCCAGCCATGCAAGACCCTGATCCGCCAGAGCAGGGGCCGTCCACCCCCAGGGTTTTGGGGAGTGGGGGTTGGAGATTGCAAATGCTGCAGCTTGAAGCCACTGCTCCTAGTCCTGTCCGCAACCGTCTCAGGGGAAAGCCCGTCTCCATCCTCTCCGTAAACACCCTGCAGGGACTTGGAGACTGTTATCGGTCTTCTCTTCTGCAGCCTCAATCCCCGCAGCTCTGCCAGCCTTGTCAGTCTTTCCTTCCAGGCCCCTGGGCGTTTTTGGCATCCGGCGCTGGGCTCTTTCCGAACTGTGCGTGTCCTCCTTGGAGCGCAGGGCCCCGGACAGGAGCCAGGCCTCCAGGGGAGGCCTCTCCAGAGCAGGGGGATCACTGCCCTTGATGTGAAGGCTTGATTTCAAGGATTTGCAAACTACTGTCGTGTCCCCCTTCGCCTCCTGCACCCTGAGCTCGATGCGCCTGGTTCTCCCAGCCTTTCGCGGCACGTAGGGCTGCCCACCTATCCCTGTATCGTCGTCATCTTCCACCTCTCGATCCCTTCCAGAGCCCGGTGCTGTGCATGCTAGCCCAGCTGAGGCCAAGCACAACTTGCTTCCCGTGTGTTGCACGAAAACTTCAGTCGCTAGAGCCCCAAACGGCATCCCGTTGCTAACTCTCTCAGACCGAGAAGCCCCACGGTCCCTCTCAGCAGCGCTACGGCCCAGCCGGTCACCCCCCTTCTGTATTTGAGCCTCAGAGTCTCATCCCTCTCTAGCATCTTGCAGTCGTCCTTGGTGCTGTCTCTTAACAAGCGGGAAGATGGCTGCCGCGGTCCCCCTGCTTCCCCTGGGGCAGGGTCGGGTGCAATGTCGTGTGTCCGGGTCGAGGGCGGTTTTGCGAATTGTTTAGATGGGCTGGTTTGGACAGGACTGGACTAGGGGCCCCCACTGGCTCCTTCCCCTTCCCTGCGCACAGCCCTGGAGCTGGTGCCACACTCCCGGGAGGGGGCCACAGAGCCTGGCCGCGACGAACCAGCTCACCCGCGGCATCCCGGAGCCTGTACGCTGCCTTGCACCCCGGGAGCGTCATCTTCTCCTCCTCCTCCGTCAGCTTCATCCGCGGGCGGCCGTTCACCTGCACCAGCTGCGGCGGGAAGCAACGAGGAGACGACGCGCTCAGGGCCGAACCGGGGCCGCTCTCCCGGGCCGACCCTCCCTAGACCCCCAGGCTCAGAGCAGCCCCCACGGCTGGACCGCCAGCCTCCCATCTGCCGGCGACTTGGGGAGCAAGCACGGACGTGGGGCTCTGCCGCCCCGATTGCAGACTTCGAGGCAGGAGCTGGGGTGGAGCTGGGGTGCTACGGCCAGCCCCGGACGGAGCCACGGGCAGCGTTTGCGGGTCGCAGCCGACCCCGCAGGGTGCGGGACTTCACCTTGTAGATGCAGCCCAGCGAGGGCTGCCGCGGGCAGGTCACCAGGTGGGTCCCGATCCCGATCATGTCGATGTCGCTGCCCTGAAGGGACAAGAACCGCCGGCGCCGTGGGCCCTCTGCATGGCTGGAGCTGTCGGTACGCGGCGCGAGGCAGCTCCGGACCCGGGGGAGGTCTGCGTCAGGGTTTCCCCGGCTCCAACCACCCCGGCGGGGTCCAAAGAGGCAGCGCAGGTTTGCTCCTGCCTCTAGCACCTGCCGGGGACCCAGAAGTCCCCCTCGACCCCATCCTCCCTGGCCCCTAGCCCGCGCCTGACCTCCGTGCCGAAGGCTTCCAGGCTCTGCTCGCTGACGTCGTTGCTCACCGCGATGGGGACAGCCTCGAACCAGGGCAGCTGGAACCTGGGCAGGAGCACGGTAAGGAGCTGCGACCAGGGCAGCGGGACAATGCCTCCCTGGACGCGTCCCCGTGCAGCCGGACACGGGCTCTGGGGCAGGGTCCCCCCCTCATGGGAGCCGGGCACCTAAACCCCTTAGGTCTCCGGAAAAACCTCCTCCCAACAGGGACGACAGAGGCAGCCGATGCCGGAGCCGAGGAAGAGCAACGCCGCAGCTCCCTGAACGCAGGCACCCCACGCGCTCCAGCCGCGCGCCCCACTCACTGGATGCTGCAGGCGCGAAGCACGCGGCGGATCTCGGCCGCCTGCCGGGCGAGGTCCCCGCTGTCCAGCCGCACGCCGATGGCGCGGTACCCCAGCTGGGCCAGCGCCCGCGC